ACTCACCCAGAGGCAGCTCCAGCCACTCAGGAACACTCGACATGCGTCCGAGAGACACATCATCATTCAGTTTTAAGCATATTTTAATTTCTACCTTTGATTTCTTCTTTGGACCATGGATTATTCAGAAGCAGGTTTTAATCTTCAAATGTATTTCTGTTTTTCAGTTGTTTGTTCTTGATTCCTAACTGCATTGCACCATGTATGTATTTAATTGCATCAGCCAGAAATGTGCTGATTTAGGCCAAGCACTGGTGACTCACCCCTGTAATCCCAGCACTTTGGGAGGCTGAGGCAGGCGGATCACCTGAGGTCAGGAGTCTGAGACCAGCCTGGCCAACATGGTGAAACCTCATCTCTACTAAAACTAAAAAAAAGTAGCCAGGAGGTAGTGGCATGCACCTGTAATCCCAAGCTTCACGGGAGGCTGAGGTACGATAATCACTTGAACCCAGGAAGTGGAAGTTGCAGTGAGCCAAGATCATGCCACTGTACTCCAGCCTGGGCAGAAGAGTGAGACTGTCTCAATAGAAAAAAAAGGAAATTGCTGACTTGCCTGCTTCGTTGTTAACTTTTGATAAAGTTTTCTAAGTGTTTCATGTGAGCCTGGGAAAGCAGCATTCTCCCGCTGCAGGGAATAGTGTCCTACGCATGTCTACTAAATCATGCTTTTGCACTATGCCGTCCCAGTCTTCCAAAAAAGCTTTACTCTTTGTCTACTTGACCCAGCAATCACTAAGCGAGGGGCATTTGTCACTGTTTCCTGTGTGTGTGGTTTTGTCAATTTCTGCTTTATATATGGAGGCTTTTTACTAGGTTGACAGAAGTTTAGGATTCTTGTATGTTTCTAGGAAATTTGACCTTTTTAAAATTAAAATGACCCTCTTTATCCCTAATATTTTTCTTTAATATCCTATTTTACCTTTTATTAATATAACTACTGTAGCTTTCTTTCAGATTATTTTCCGGCATATCTTTTCTTATCCTTTCACCTTGGTCTTTTCAGTATCCTTGTCTTAGGTATGTTCCCTGGATACAGAGTTGTTTTTGAAATCCAATTTGACAACTTGTTTTTTTAACTCACAAGTTTAGTCAAGCTATGCTTACTATGATTATAGATATCATTAGATTCATTTCTACCACATTAGGCTGGATTTCTACTCATCTTATTTTTGTTTTCTTTTTCTCCTGTCTTCTTTGGGGACTTAAGTATTTTTATTTCTCCTTTTCTTCACTACTGTTTGGGAAGTTCATACTATCTTTCTATTATTTTAGTGGTTATCCTCGAAATACTGGCATGCATACTAAGACAAAGAGTCCAATAGTATGTCTTCCAAGCAATTAGGAACTCTTTTTCTTTGTTTCTTCCTTTCTTTTAAGACAATGGTTTTACTTTCATATGACGCTACTGCTGTGAGAAATGTTAAAAGCCGGGAACTCTGCCACCCCACGCAGCTTAGACACCACCTGTCCAGTACAGTGAGACCTCACAAGGTGGCGGACAGGTTCCCTCAAACTGCAGCCTTCCGTGAGCCAACTACAGGAGGTCTCTGAATAACATCATTTCCTTCAAAACAGTCTCATTATTAACGTTGATGAGAAAAAAAATCGGTTTCATTATACATCATTTCACAAAAGTTGCAGTTTCCAAGAACCTATCGATGATGTTGAAGTGAGGACTTAAAAGTATTTTAATCTTTCTTAAATTATTTTCTAATACAACAAATTAGCTTCCCCCGCAGTTTTTACAGACTTTCCTTTGTATCTGCTCTCCTGGTATGTCGTAAGTGGGTGGGTCTTGTCATCGGTAACTGCGCTGGGCACACAGTATGCCCCTTCCATCTATAGATGTCTATTAACTGTGTACGTTTTTTGATTACTGCTTTAACCAAATACTGTGAAATAACCATTTTTGGGAAATACGAGGAAGTTGTATAAGAGAGCCCAATCTTCATCTACTATTGCAGGAAGTCGACAGGTGAAATAAAGGATGTTAATTAAAGACTGAGGTAAATTCCAAACGAAATACCTAAAAGAACTAAAAATGATCATCTATTAAGGTAATCGTTGCTACCTGTTTGTTATAGATACATGATTTTTTTGTTGTTTTTGAGACCGAGTCTCGCTCTGTCACCCAGGGTGGAGTGCAGTGGCGCCATCTCGGCTCACTACAACCTCCGCCTCCTGGGTTCAAGCGATTCTCCTGCCTCAGCCTGCCGAGTAGCTGGGATTACAGGCATGTGCCACCACACCTGGCTAATTTTTGTATTTTTAGTAGAGACAGGGTTTCACCATGTTGCCCAGGCTGGTCTAGAATTTTTGACCCCAAGCAATCCGCCTGTCTTGGCCTCCCAAAATGTTGGGATTACAGGCGTGAGCCACCGCATCTGGCCATATTTACGTGACTTTAAAATGTACAACACTGATAATATTTGGGGGGAAAAAATCTCAGGCACCATTCCACGTCACCCGCAGGGGGTGGCTGCATCCCTCATAACTGACCGACTGAGTTTTTGCTGTTGGTTTCAACTTCTGTTTCCTTCTTTAAAAGTCCTTATTACTTGTCAATGTGTTAAGGGATTTAAACAACTGCCATTCCTGACGACATCAAGAAACCGAGGTTTCCTGGGGAATTTTCCTCTCTGGTTTTAGAGTAAAACACCAAAGCCTTATAAATGGTGCCTTTCCCACTCACGGAAGTCCAACTCTAAACGTCAACACTGACAGGACCCCAGGCCTGGGCTGGTCTCCCTCAGACCCACATGCCAAACCAGCAGCCGTGTACGGAGGCAGGATTCATCTCAGTGGCAGTTCTGAACCCTCAGTGACAGACAATGCAGGGAAAGTTCGCTTCTAGGTTTGATCTTTTTAAAAAATTCACATTTTGCTTCTTTTTTTTTTTTTTTTTTTTTCTGAGACGGAGTTTCGCTCTTGCTACCCAGGCTGGAGTGCAATGGCGTGATCTCGGCTCACCGCAACCTCCGCCTCCTGGGTTCAGGCAATTCTCCTGCCTCAGCCTCCTGAGTAGCTGGGATTACAGGCACACGCCACCATGCCCAGCTAATTTTTGTATTTTTAGTAGAGATGGGGTTTCACCATGTTGACCAGGATGGTCTCGATCTCTTGACCTCGTGATCCACCCGCCTCGGCCTCCCAAAGTGCTGGGATTACAGGCTTGAGCCACCGTGCCCGGCCTTACATTTTGCTTCTTAAAGGAAGAACTTCCAGTTTTAATCCTTTCATTTTGTAATGATCTCACTGAACACCATAAACATTCAAAAGCTGAAAATATCACAAGTGAAATTTCAACCGAAGCCTCTTTCCCTGACTGTGCAGCTAAAAGTCCCTAGGTACACAGCCCCTGAACAGCGTAGGAAAAAAGCTGTTTTTTGCTGAGTTGATGTCCACAGGTAAGGGCTGGTGGGGGAATCGGGGGTGCTGATTTAAGATGTAAAAATGTGTGATCCTCATTCCCCGATGACCCCTACCACTGTCATCTGTTGACTGTATACGGTCCCTTTTTCAGGACATGAAGGAAACAATTACATGGCAAGAATTCATGTTCCCCCGATCTTAAAGTCTCAAAACAGAATGAAAAGCTTATGTAAAACGGTGGGCCAAGCCAGGCAGGGTGGCTCATGCCAGCACCTTGGGAGGCTGAGGTAGGCAGATTATCTGAGGTCAGGAGTTCAAGACCAGCCTGGCCAACATGGGAAACCCCGCCTCTACTAAAAATACGAAAATTAGCAGGGCATGGTGGCACACGCCTGTAATCCCAGCTACTCGGGAGGCTGAGACAGGAGAATCACTTGAACCTGGGAGGCGGATGTTACAGTGAGCCAAGATGGTGCCACAGCACCCCAGCCTGGGTGACAGACTGAGACTGTCCCCCAAAAAAATAAAAAACAAAAATAAATAAAATGGTGGACCGGGTGACACAGAAAAATAAATCTAAGAAAAAAGCAGCTGACAACATGTTATTCGTGGCAAAGTATGAAACAGCTGTGGGACACGAGACAACCAACGGAGGTGCCACCTTCCTTCAGGGCAGAAACTGCTGCCTCTGTTCCCAGAAGGGTTCTCAAAATCTGCAGAGTAAGCTTTTCATTCATTCGAACAAACATAAAAATACTGCACTCAAATCAAAGTGAAACTTTACTATACAATCTTTCGTATTAGGACCAAAGAAAAGATGTCCCGGGATAACAAAGAGGAGGCACAGCCAGTGCCGGCTTCCCAGGAGTTAAGGAGAGGGAAGCAGCAACGGGAAAGGGGTGGAGGGACAGAGCTGGGACACCCTGGTTGGACCCTACTCGGGGCACAGTACACACGAAGAAGTGCCAGCACTGCTCCTGAGGGTGATGCAGGCGCAGACCGAAAATGAGTGGCAGGACGCGGACAGCGCCGGAGCACGCACTGGCCGTGGGGGGCTACCTTTAGCAGTGTCTCTATTTTTTGGAGAATGTTCTGAGTATTTACCAATAAAACACTGCGGAAAAAAACATGCATACACTTATTCTCAAGATAAGGTTCAAGAGAGGATGTGGGGTCCAAGTGCTAAGTATCCTGATGTCACACTTACCCCAGAGGACACACGGCCGAGGTGTACCAAGAGAAGAGGTACTGGCAGTCGGCAGTCTCGTGACTGAACTCGGGGATCCCGTCCTCCACCAGAGGGTCACAGTGAAAGAAGATAGTGGAAGAAACGGACTTGGTCTTATCCTTTCCACACTTAGAGGAAGAGGCAAACACGACATCAAGATCGCCATCTGTCAAAAAAGAAGGGGCACACATGGTGTGTCACTATCAGTTTTCACGAGCAGACTGAGCTTAGCTCATTACGGTCTAAAAGAGTTTGCAAAGACTTAAAATCACACAGAAACTTCGTCCCACGTCCCACGCACTCTGTTCACAGCTTACAAAGCCACTCAGTCCACCTTGAAAGAGCCCTGCCCTCAGCACCCAGTAAAGAACTTTTGTTTTGTCTTGTTATTACCACAAGTATTTACTGATGGACTGAAGATACAATTTTAATGGAACAATAAGGCACAACTGTGGAAAAGAGGGGAAAAGCTATAATCTTAGGAACTTTATGAAAATCAACAAGCCTCTGAAGTACCTTTCTAACAGTTCAGTATAAGATATATTCCCTTTTATACAATTCCTATACTACATCACTTGATCACAAAGTCCAACTGATACTTCATAAAGAATTCCTCATTCATTTCTATTTGAGCCATCCAGCCTGGCTACTTCCCTGTTCTCCACCTTTTTCCATTGCTTTGCTGTGGTATTTTTTAGCAATCCCCTACTTAAAGAATTATGTACACACCTTCAATAGTTTCCAAAGCAAGGAAACAAGCAAGCAAGCAATGAGTCAAGAAAGCCAAGGGCAGACATATGAATGAACAGACTCACAGAGACATACATTAGGACGGCAATAGCTTGATTCATGGAAGTCTAAACTAAGCTGACTTTGGCAGGAAAGTTGCTGTGATTCGCTCAAACACTTGTAATGCACCTGAGGTTGTGCTACTAGTGCCAGACCTCTTGTTTCTAAAGGATAAGCTATGGAAACTAATGTTAACTCGGGAGCTAATGACAAAACCATCATGCTTTGGACTTGCATTAGGAGCTGACTATGGCTTCCAGCATTAACATCTGCCAAGTTTGAAATTCATAAAGAATTTTGTGCAAAACTTCAACACACAGAGAACAATCTTTAAATATGTTGGACTGGGATAAGTTAGGCACTTCGGTAACACTAATCTTTCTAACTTGGAAACGTAAAGTGAAAAGCATTCCAGTGTACATAACACTGAGGCATAAACCATACTGCAGAGGTGTGAAAGCAGGAGGGTGTATAGGGTGCCCAGCCTCCTTGTTCAAAAAGCCATGAGAAAGTCCCCAAGCATACTGTCAGAGCAGCGGTTCTGGTGGTAACGGTGTCCCAAGACTAAGTAAACCTGCAGGCATATTGCTACTTTTTGAATAGCCAACACTGCACCAACAAGAGGAGCCACATAGGTTCAGAGTTGAGAATCAAAGAGACCAGAGGGAGAGTGACGTGGGCAAGCAACCTAGAAGACTTGACTCCACACCTCTCACCAAGGCCACCTTCCAAGAATATCTCCACCCAGCAGCCCTCTGATGACAAAACAGAGTGCAGAGGATGATCTCGTGCTCCTGGGAGAAGTGTTGGTTACCAAAAAGCGCCTGGAGAGGCAACATCCCAGAGGCCCATTGAATAATGAAGGTAGATTAAAAACTACCACACCACCAAACTATCCTGCCAAGTCAGAGATACATATACCAGGCATAGCTCGAGGTGCCAAGTAGAACAGAGGAGATTCTGAGGCTTAACGAAAAGCAGAAAGACTGCATGACTCGGTGACCAGTATGCTGAATGACACAGAAGTAGGAAGCAAGGGACGTACAAAAAGGATGCATGCTGGCGAACTCGCCAGAGGGAAGGCAGCATGGGTGCAGTCCGCATCCGGTGACAGAGCTCTGCTGGCTTGTTCCGCAGCATGATTCCCCATCTTACTTTCTCAGACTTGACGGATGTGTGGCATTCAGCAGCAGAACACAGAAAGATGGTATTTGTAAATGAAGAACTGGTGAACGGATACCCAACAGAAATAGACTGGGTGTACCATTCTGTAATGCCCTGTTTATAGACAAAGGCAGGTTTGCGTTGACAGAACACACTTGGGGTTGTCATGCAACGGCAGTAGCACTTTGGAAGAAAGGGAATGAAGGAGCGGGGGTGGGGCTGGTGGACAGGAGGACGGTCAAGTTCCAGTTCTTAAATACTAGACCACAAGGAACAGTCTGCTGTCTGCCCTTTAGTGAAGAAATGGAATGCCCATTTTCTGTTCTGCATCGACCTTCTCCAAAACCTTAGCAAAGTCTGTGATAAAGATGCATTACTGTCCCCATGCTGATCAGCCTCCCGAATGGTCCTGTCTGCGATGCTGCTCAGCTGCTCATCTGAGATATTTACTCGGACCATCATGCATGGCGCCTGTAACAGCTCATCACGGGCGATCTTGGCATCTTTATCCAACTCATATAGTCCAGAAGCAAAGTGCTGTTTGTTGCTCTGGCTATTGAGTGGATCAGGTCCATTCACATCTTTGCTCTCTTCATTATCCTCAACGGTTCAGAGATAAGCCAAAGTTCGCAGGAATCCACCGAGTTTACCTGGTCCTCTCCCTCTGGAAAGAAGGCACTGATGACCCAGTCCCCCACTGAGTTGATAGCAAGTTCTGGACTCCTCTGAAAATCATCCCGTTCTCTCCTTTGTCCAGGCTGGTAAACCAGGTGTAGAGGGGGTAATTTCACAGTGGGAAAGGCCAGTCTCCTTGAGCTCCTCGAGCTCTTCATTTCTCAATAATGTGGAGGCCTGAGATCCCCTCACTGCGCCAGGGCTCCTCCAGGAGCAGTGGCACCAGAAGTGACAGCGACAGGAAGGAAGGCAAGAATTTAACCTTGCCCAAAAAGAGGGCTAGCCTCGGTCCTCAGCTAATGACAGGAGATCGAACAAGGGCTGTCCATGCAGTACCCGAGCAATCAGCCAACCAGCTCTGCACACATCATGGAGCCTTGGGAAAAACTCTGGACACCAAGGCTGGGGAGCACCCCAGCGGGAAATACTCTACATACACTGCCACATGTGGGTGCTGGGAACACAAAACACATCTGCACACCTGATTCCACAGGAGAGTCCGGCAGGAGCTATGCATTCGATTCCCTCCTGGACTCTGCCCTGTGTGCAACTTGGCTAATTTTAACCTATACCCTTTTGCTGCAGTAAATCATAACTGTGAGCATAACCACTTTCAGGGAGTTATGGTGATAGGGAGAATATAAAGTTGGCTTGGGACCGGGCGCCACGGCTCACATCTGTAATCCCAGCACTTTGAGAGGTTGAGGTGGGTGGATCACCTGACTTCAAGAGTTCAAGACCAGCCTGACCAACATGGTGAAACCCCGTGTCTACTAAAAACACAAAAAATTAGCTGGGTGTGGTGGCGGGTGCCTGTAATCCCAGCTACTCAGGAGGCTGAAGCAGGAGAATCGCTTGAACCCAGGAGGTGGAAGTTTCAGTGAGCCAACATTGCATCATTGCACTCCAGCATGGGCAACAGAGTGAGACTCTGTCTCAAAATAAATAATAAATAAAAATAAAGTTGGCTTGGACACCCCCTCAGTGTGCTGCTGGTGTCAGAAGTGAGGAAGCCTTGCATGGACTCCTTGCATAAACTCTGCTGCTCCCAACCTTTGTCGCTGGCTCAAAATCTTTGTGGTTGGCGCTTCTGGGTACCAGGAATGCAGAGGCGAAAGTGCAGGGTATGAGATGGACATGTCCACACGCAGAGGGGCCCAGAGACGGGCAGGGCAGCTCGGCTTAGGGAGGGTCCTGCATTCTCACTTGGAAGTGGCTGAAGCAGGGGCTACTGAATGGACCGTTCCGCAGGGCCGGTGGCAGGGAGCAAACTGCCCAGCAGCCCCACATCCTAACAAGAGACAGCTGCTGCCCTCCTGAAGGAATGGCAAGCCTCAGGAAGAGAAAGAAACTTCATTTCTTCATGAAAGATGAAAAGAGATCTTAAAACTAAAGCTACTTTCTGGGCCTGGTGGATGAAGAAAGTGAAAAGGTCTGAAAGCGATTTTATTTACCAAGAACGACTAAATGCGCATGCACCAGCCTTCTGAAAGCTGGGATCCCTGTGGGTCTGCTCAACACACCACCTGTGAATGTGGATCCCCGTGGGTCTGCCCGACACACCACCTGTGAACATGGATCCCCGTGGGTCTGCCCGACACACCACCTGTAAATGTGGATCCCTGTAGGTCTGTTCAACACACCACCTGTGAACGTGGATCCCCGTAGGTCTGCTCAACACACCACTGGTGAATGTGGAGGTGCTTATGTGGAACGAGTGGCCAGTGCTGTACTGTGGAGCCTGAAGACACCAGGCGGCATCACTCTGCTACGAGAAGGTGGGCCTTCCAGGGAGTGGCACTGGAAGGATGAGGAAGGCGGGCCGAGGCATTCCAGCACAAGGAACAGCATGTGTAAAGCCACCACCTTACAGAGTGACTTTGGGAGCTGGTGAATAACCTGATGGCTGAGGCATGACAATCCTTCCTTCCTTTCATCAACATGTACTGAGCACTTCCTATGGGCCAGGCACTGGGAAACAGGACAGCAAGAGCAGGCCGACCTGTGACGTGCAACAGCTGACTCTGAACGACTGGAGGATTCACCAAAGCACGAGGAAGGCAGAGAACACAGAAACACACAGCACTTGCTCTGTGCTGTGGAATTACACAAGTGAATGAGGCTGATCAACTTTCCCATCATCAAGCCGCCCAGAAGCAGGACACTCACTTTCCCAGTTCTACTCATGGGCCACAGGTGTCATGAGCAGATGCACCAGGGCGCTGTCTCCAATCTGTGACCGGGAGCAGCAACGCTGACCCAGCTTCCCTCCACCAGGTGCTGCTGTTGTGGAGATGCACACTGCACCAGGGCACGGAGCACCCCCACTCCTTCTTGGCTATCACTACTCTCCCCTCCCACGGGACCCGTTCAGCAACTGTTTGACATCAGAGAAGGCTGGGGTTTTCTTTCAACACATATGATTTTTTAAAGAGTTACTACATCCACGCATGGTTTAAAAATCAAATTACGGAAGGTATATAGTTACGACTAGCTGTTCTAAACAAAAGCAGCCTTTCAGGATGCTTCCCTCAAGGACAAGAGGGAACAAAGGGCAACACCCTTATTAGTGCCAGTAAAAAACCTTCCTTCACACCCTGGAGTCTGCCCTACGTGTGTCCTGGTTGATTTTAACCTATATCCTAACACTTTCGTACTTCTTACAAATATGAAATCTCTTTCCCTTCTCTAATACTATTTGGTATTCCAAAATAAGGAAGTGTCATGGCTAAAACCAAATCAAAGGTAATTCTGACTCTGCACAGCTCAGCCTCCACCTGACCTCAGAACCACTGGATCAGACCAAGTTTTCATTTTTTGGACATTTGTTTACCTGTTAACTGAGATACAATTTATGTACAGTGAAATGCTCAGGTCTGGCACATATCATCTGATCCATTCTGATGAAATTCATAAGAAAGCAAAGAATTAGACCATGGTTTTCGTTTTAAAAGTGATCTGAGATTTTAACCGAAGGGGGTTAGTTGAAAATTTTAATGCCCTTCCTTGGAGGAAGCTAAATGAGGACCTGTCATGGGAAGCAATGGATTACCTTGAAGATAGTACTTGGTCTTATCGGAGGTTCCGACTTTGCGACTGAAGTGCTGATCGTTGGGCTTCACCTGGCATATGTTGGCTCCGGAGCATGCCGGGTTTCTGGAGCTCGTGATGGAGGAAAGCTGGATCTCATACAGGTAGTTGTCCCCATTGGTCCTCATGTCCCCAGAGGCTCTGAACAGCCTGAAGAGACAGAAACGACCACAGTGACATGGAAGTCTTTCAAAAAGGCATTCATTACATTAAGGCCACAGTCCTCGGAATCACTGCAGGGCCCCAGGATGCTTCCTGTCCTAAGCTACGGCAGCACATCTGTGACCCCACAGAGATTCTGAGGACACCAGCTTCCATCTCAAGAGGGTTTCTCCCCAACCAGTTCTGCCCTCTGAGTGCTAATCCGCCTTCCTCAGGTGCCGCGTCCAGCACCACATGGCCCTCACCCTGCCCGTGCACGGGCAGAAGACATGGCCAGGCACCTGGGCCACCGGCCCCTGAGAGCAGCCCCAGTAACACTGCTGAGAAATCCATTTTCTACAAACTGGCAATCCCAGAAGATTCCTGCTCAAACATGTCAGAAGGCTTCTGCTTCAACCCCTGTGCTTATCACGAAGTGAGGGAGAAGGGGGGGATTTATTTTTACACTCACAAGAATTCACCATCTTTGGTATTAAAATTTAATAGTTGAGTAATGCTTTTCCTCAGTTTAAGCAAAAGATGACGACAATTCCAGCAACAGTAACTAAAACACACAGACCTATTTATCCTGGAGTGCTCCCCAATAGGGAAAGAGCTGCATTGCTGGTTTAATTTTGAATACATTTCACAGCTCAAAAGGAAAACGTTTTACTTACTTAAAATAAATGTCTCCGAGGCTGAAGCTCTTGCCATTTATAGGGTTGGTGATGGTCCCATTCACCATCTGTACCTCCTGAGGCTTCACAGCGCAGGCAGCCCGGGAGTCCCAGCTGAAGTAGTAGGTGCAGCTGTCGATGTCAAACCTAGGAGGGGGAAGCGCAGACTATAGTCTTCACAGGGCAGACTGCAAAACAGGGAACACTCAGAACCCTTAAAGCAGCTCGCTGGCTTTCAGTCAAGGTGCACTGAGATTTCGGCTGGGTCCCGAGACCCCCACTCCCCGGGCTGCATGGACCTAGGCGGAACTTCCCGACTCAACACTGACAGCAGCTCTGAGCTAAGGATGGTTATTTTACTCACTTTTCTTCATCGCCACAATGGATAGGGAAGATGACTGTGTCAGTAATGCGACAAAGCAGGCAAGCACTCAGTATCAATTTTTTAAAATTTGTAAACCATGTAACATTTAAAACCTGGAAATATTTGCTCCTAGATTTTTGGCTTTTTGTTTTATAAGCTTCTCAGACTCATACACTGATAAATCCTTTGGCAATTTCCAAGTCTCCCCTTCTCCAAAGTGAGCGTCTGGAAGGAATCAGTTTTGTTCCCAGACAGCAGCTCACATGCACCCTCTGCTGGCCAGGCTCTCCCCGGCGCCAGCTGCAACGCCGCCTGGAAAACCTGAATACAACCCAAGCACATCCTAGGTCCAGAGGCAGGTCTCACCTGCCCGAGGGTCCCAGGCAGGCTGCCTGAACACCCTGGGTGGGACAAATCAACGCCCCTTTGTTTCTACTATGACAAAGATGAAGGCCAGTTAAATACTGCTCAGCCAGTGCTAAACCCAGTTCAAGAGGCAAGCTAGGCCAGAGAAGTTGCACTGGTCTTGTAACTGTCTCCGCGCTGTATCCGGGATCTTCCCTGCCCGCAGCAGCCCCGCCCAATACAGCACAAGCAGCGCCGCAGCCCCGAGCTCCTAAGACTCAGTCAAAACCTGCACGTGAAAACCCCAAGGAGGAACCTCCCCAGTGTGCTCGCTGCACTGTGCCCCAAGTCTCCCGTCCTCTGTGCCCCCAGTCTGCGCCTCCCACTCTGTGTCCCCAGTCTCCTGACCTCTTGAATGTAGGTCTGCCCACCGTCTTTGTACAGGTCAATTCTATCACGGAGGATGCGGTCTTATTTCCATCACACGGATAACCTTTGGAGTACGTGACAACAACTTTGTCACCTGAAACACACAATTGAAATGACATTATTTCTGGTGCATTATAAAAAGCCTCAGCCTGGCGCGCTGGCTCACGCCTGTTAATTCCAGCACTTTGGGAGGCTGAGGTGGGTGGATCACTTGAGGTCACAAGTTTGAGACCAGCCTGACCAATATGGTAAAACCCCATCTCTACTAAAAATACAAAAATCAGTCGGGCACGGTGGCAGGCACCTGTAATCCCAGCTACTTGAGAGGCTGAGGCAGGAGAATGGCTTGAAGCCGGGAGGCAGAGGTTGCAGTGAACTGAGATCATGCCATTGCACTCCAGCCTGGGCAACAAAAGCAAAACTCCACCTCAAAACGAACAAACAAAGCCTCAATGTTAGAAGTCAAAATCTGGTTTAAAGGCCAGGAAAAAATAAAGTTTTGGCTCTCTACAGGTTTATCCACCTCTTCTTGCATTACCATGATCAGACCTGGCCTATCGCACCACTGCCACAGCCCAAGACCTGGGGTCAAACCCAAACCCTCCTACTCCCGTACTTTGTGACCCTGGGCTGCTGAGCTTCTGAGCTTCAAGGGCCTTACCAACAGAACAGGACACTGTCCAAAGTGGGCAGGTTTCAGGCATGTACAGAAATTGCCTGACAAGCTCATGTGAAGAACGGCACCCTGGGTAACGGCAGCCTTCCCCATTATTCCAACTGTGTAAAATTTCTGTCTCCTATTAGGTGCTTTCCTGACAGGTGCCCTCATGTGAGTCTCCCAATAATAACAGGGCAGGGACTGGAAAAACTGAAAAGGCAGAACAGATCAACTGTGGTTTTCTAGGGTCTTCTGGCTTTATGTCGAGTACTGTCTGCTTTTAAAAGTGACCCATTAAAAAAAAAAAAAGGAAAAAAAAAAAACCTAAGCCCTCAAACCTGCAGGGTCTGAGAAAAAAGTGAGTACATGTTTTAAGCTGCAAGTATCACTGCGCAGCGTGGTCACCAAGTTCCGACTCTCAAGCCACCACCAAGA